ATTGAGAACAGCAGTTGTCTCGTATCCCTAGACGTAATTAAATCTTGGCTGCTGTAGGGTCACGAGCCGTAACGTACGATAGGTAACAGAGACACAGGTGATGGGGGACCTGTGGTGCTGGTGGAGGGTGGAGACTCAGGTGAGGGGGGACCTGTGGTGCTGGTGGAGGCTGGAGACACAGGTGAGGAGGGACCTGTGATGCTGGTGGAGGCTGGAGACACAGGTGAGGGACCTGTGGTGCTGGTGGAGGCTGGAGACACAGGTGAGGGACCTGTGGTGCTGGTGGAGGCTGGAGACACAGGTGAGGGGGGACCTGTGGTGCTGGTGGAGGCTGGAGACACAGGTGAGGGACCTGTGGTGCTGGTAGAGGCTGGAGACACAGGTGAGGAGAGACCTGTGGTGCTGGTGGAGGCTGGAGACACAGGTGAGGGACCTGTGGTGCTGGTGGAGCCTGGAGATACAGGTGAGGAGAGACCTGTGGTGCTGGTGGAGGCTGGAGACACAGGTGAGGGACCTGTGGTGCTGGTGGAGGCTGGAGACACAGGTGAGGAAGGACCTGTGGTGCTGGTGGAGGCTGGAGACACAGGTGAGGGGGGACCTGTGGTGCTGGTGGAGGCTGGAGACACAGGTGAGGGGGAATCTGTGGTGCTGGTGGAGGCTGGAGACACAGGTGAGGGACCTGTGGTGCTGGTGGAGGCTGGAGACACAGGTGAGGGACCTGTGGTGCTGGTGGAGGCTGGAGACACAGGTGAGGGGGGATCTGTGGTGCTGGTGGAGGCTGGAGACACAGGTTAGGAGGGACCTGTGGTGCTGGTGGAGGCTGGAGACACAGGTGAGGGACCTGTGGTGCTGGTGGAGGCTGGAGAGACAGGTGAGGGGGGATCTGTGGTGCTGGTGGAGGCTGGAGACACAGGTGAGGAGGGACCTGTGGTGCTGGTGGAAGCTGGAGACACAGGTGAGGGACATGTGGTGCTGGTGGAGGGTGGAGACACAGGTGAGGAGGGACCTGTGGTGCTGGTGGAGGGTGGAGACACAGGTGAGGAGGGACCTGTGGTGCTGGTGGAGGGTGGAGACACAGGTGAGGAGGGACCTGTGGTGCGGGTGGAGGCTGGAGACACAGGTGAGGGGGCACCTGTGGTGCTGGTGGAGGCTGGAGACACAGGTGAGGGACCTGTGGTGCTGGTGGAGGCTGGAGACACAGGTGAGGAGGGACCTGTGGTGCTGGTGGAAGCTGGAGACACAGGTGAGGGACCTGTGGTGCTGGTGGAGGCTGGAGACACAGGTGAGGAGGGACCTGTGGTGCTGGTGGAGGGTGGAGACACAGGTGAGGAGGGACCTGTGGTGCTGGTGGAGGGTGGAGACACAGGTGAGGAGGGACCTGTGGTGCTGGTGGAGGGTGGAGACACAGGTGAGGAGGGACCTGTGGTGCTGGTGGAGGCTGGAGACACAGGTGAGGAGGGACCTGTGGTGCTGGTGGAGACTGGAGACACAGGTGAGGGACCTGTGGTGCTGGTGGAGGCTGGAGACACAGGTGAGGAGGGACCTGTGGTGCTGGTGGAGGCTGGAGACACAGGTGAGGAGGGACCTGTGGTGCTGGTGGAGGCTGGAGACACAGGTGAGGAGGGACCTGTGGTGCTGGTGGAGGCTGGAGACACAGGTGAGGAGGGACCTGTGGTGCTGGTGGAGGCTGGAGACACAGGTGAGGAGGGACCTGTGGTGCTGGTGGAGGCTGGAGACACAGGTGAGGGACCTGTGGTGCTGGTGGAGGCTGGAGACACAGGTGAGGAGGGACCTGTGGTGCTGGTGGAGGCTGGAGACACAGGTGAGGGACCTGTGGTGCTGGTGGAGGCTGGAGACACAGGTGAGGAGGGACCTGTGGTGCTGGTGGAGGCTGGAGACACAGGTGAGGAGGGACCTGTGGTGCTGGTGGAGGCTGGAGACACAGGTGAGGAGGGACCTGTGGTGCTGGTGGAGGCTGGAGACACAGGTGAGGAGGGACCTGTGGTGCTGGTGGAGGCTGGAGACACAGGTGAGGGACCTGTGGTGCTGGTGGAGGCTGGAGACACAGGTGAGGAGGGACCTGTGGTGCTGGTGGAGGCTGGAGACACAGGTGAGGAGGGACCTGTGGTGCTGGTGGAGGCTGGAGACACAGGTGAGGAGGGATCTGTGGTGCTGGTGGAGGCTGGAGACACAGGTGAGGGACCTGTGGTGCTGGTGGAGGCTGGAGAAACAGGTGAGGGACCTGTGGTGCTGGTGGAGGCTGGAGACACAGGTGAGGGACCTGTGGTGCTGATGGAGGCTGGAGACACAGGTGAGGAGGGACCTGTGGTGCTGGTGGAGGCTGGAGACACAGGTGAGGGACCTGTGGTGCTGGTGGAGGCTGGAGACACAGGTGAGGAGGGATCTGTGGTGCTGGTGGAGGCTGTAGAAACAGGTGAGGGACCTGTGGTGCTGGTGGAGGCTGGAGACACAGGTGAGGAGGGATCTGTGGTGCTGGTGGAGGGTGGAGACACAGGTGAGGGACCTGTGGTGCTGGTGGAGGCTGGAGACACAGGTGAGGAGGGACCTGTGGTGCTGGTGGAGGCTGGAGACACAGGTGAGGAGGGACCTGTGGTGCTGGTGGAGGGTGGAGACACAGGTGAGGGACCTGTGGTGCTGGTGGAGGCTGGAGACACAGGTGAGGGACCTGTGGTGCTGGTGGAGGCTGGAGACACAGGTGAGGGGGGACCTGTGGTGCTGGCAACAACTCATCATCAGCCATCTGGGAGTTGTCATTCCTAAATGATGCTGCAGCTGTCATAAAGGAGAGACAAGACCAGAGGTAACTTACCCTACACCCGAGGCAAGATGGGCAGCTTACCTTACACCCGAGGCAGCAGTGGCAGCTTACCCTACACCCGAGGCAGCAGTAGCAGCTTACCCTATACCCGAGGCAGCAGTGGCAGCTTACCCTACACCCGAGGCAGCAGTAGCAGCTTACCCTACACCCGAGGCAGCAGTGGCAGCTTACCTTACACCCGAGGCAGCAGTAGCAGCTTACCTTACACCCGAGGCAGTAGTGGCACCTTACCTTACACCAGAGGCAGCAGTGGCAGCTTACCTTACACCCGAGGCAGCAGTAGCAGCTTACCTTACACCCGAGGCAGCAGTGGCAGCTTACCCTACACCCGAGGCAGCAGTAGCAGCTTACCCTACACCCGAGGCAGCAGTAGCAGCTTACCCTACACCCGAGGCAGCAGTAGCAGCTTACCCTACACCCGAGGCAGCAGTAGCAGCTTACCCTACACCCGAGGCAGCAGTAGCAGCTTACCTTACACCCGAGGCGGCAGTAGCAGCTTACCTTACACCCGAGGAAGTAGTGGCAGCTTACCCTACACCCGAGGCAACAGTAGCAGCTTACCCTACACCCGAGGCAGTAGTGGCAGCTTACCTTACACCCGAGGCAGCAGTGGGAGCTTACCTTACACTTGAGGCAGCAGTGGGAGCTTACCTTACACTGGAGGCAGCAGTGGCAGCTTACCTTACACTTGAGGCAGCAGTGCCAGCTTACCTTACACTTGAGGCAGCAGTGGCAGCTTACCTTACACCCGAGGCAGCAGTGGCAGCTTACCCTACACCCGAGGCAGCAGTAGCAGCTTACCTTACACCCGAGGCAGCAATAGCAGCTTACCTTAAAACTTGAGGCAGCAGTGGCAGCTTACCTTACACCCGAGGCAGCAGTGGCAGCTTACCTTACACCCGAGGCAGCAGTGGCAGCTTACCTTAAACTTGAGGCAGCAGTAGCAGCTTACCTTACACCCGAGGCAGCTTACCCTACACCCGAGGCAGCTTACCTTACACCCGAGGCAGCAGTAGCAGCTTACCTTACACCCGAGGCAGCTTACCCTACACCCGAGGCAGCTTACCTTACACCCGAGGCAGCTTACCTTACACCCGAGGCAGCCGTAGTAGCTTACCTTACACCCGAGGCAGCAGTAGCAGCTTACCTTACACCCGAGGCAGCAGTGGCAGCATACCCTACACCCGAGGCAGCTTACCTTACACCCGAGGCAGCTTACCCTACACCCGAGGCAGCTTACCTTACACCCGAGGCATCAGTAGCAGCTTACCTTACACCCGAGGCAGCAGTAGCAGCTTACCTTACACTTGAGGCAGCAGTGGCAGCTTACCTTACACCCGAGGCAGCAGTGGCAGCTTACCTTATACCCAAGGCAGCAGTAGCAGCTTACCTTACACCCGAGGCAGCAGTGGCAGCTTACCCTACACCCGAGGCAGCAGTAGCAGCTTACCTTACTCCCGAGGCAGCAGTGGCAGCTTACCTTACACCCGAGGCAGCTTACCCCACACCCGAGGCAGCAGTGGCAGCTTACCTTACACCCGAGGCAGCTTACCCCACACCCGAGGCAGCAGTGGCAACTTACCTTACACCCAAGGCAGCAGTGGCAACTTACCTTACACCCAAGGCAGCAGTAGCAGCTTACCTTACACCCGAGGCAGCTTACCCTACACCCGAGGCAGCAGTGGCAGCTTACCTTACACCCGAGGCAGCTTACCCTACACCCGAGGCAGCAGTGGCAGCTTACCTTACACCCGAGGCAGCTTACCCTACACCCGAGGCAGCAGTGGCAGCTTACCTTACACCCGAGGCAGCTTACCCTACACCCGAGGCAGCAGTGGCAGCTTACCTTACACCCGAGGCAGCTTACCCTACACCCAAGGCAGCAGTAGCAGCTTACCTTACACCCGAGGCAGCTTACCCTACACCCGAGGCAGCAGTGGCAGCTTACCTTACACCCGAGGCAGCTTACCCTACACCCGAGGCAGCAGTGGCAGCTTACCTTACACCCGAGGCAGTTTACCTTACACCCGAGGCAGCAGTGGCAGCTTACCTTACACCCGAGGCAGCAGTGGCAGCTTACCTTACACCCAAGGCAGCAGTGGCAGCTTACCTTACACCCGAGGCAGCTTACCCTACATCCGAGGCAGCAGTGGCAGCTTACCTTACACCCGAGCGAAGAAGCCAAATCAATGACTTTGTTGTTTATTTCCAAGGGTCGACAGTCACAAATCTTGGACTGTCGTCGCATGAGGCCGAGCGTCTTGGCCATACCATTCAGGGCCATGAGCTGGCCGTAGCGGTCCTCAAGGTGGACCATGAGCTGCATGCTGGCCTCGTAGCGCTTATATGCTCGCTGAAACACACTCAAAATTAGTACACTTTCTCGGAATATAATCTGTACTATAACATAGAATGTCTGTCTGTTTCTTCAAAGTTTTAGGCTAGACGTTTAGGATAAGTCTCACCCAATTGGCAGAGGGAATGGTCTGGGGTTATAGGATAAACATTGGCAGGTTCGGGTCCCCGTAATTCAAAAGGGAACAGCGTGCCAGAGTCACATTCATAACCCCCAGTAGTGGAATATGTGACTAGAACCGGACGTGCACATCTGGGCAGGTGTACCAGGTCGCGTGGTTCTAGTCACAGGAGGTGTGCGAGAGGGGGGGGGGGTCGCGTGGTTCTAGTCACAGGAGGTGTGCGAGAGGGGGGGGGGGGGTCGCGTGGTTCTAGTCACAGGAGGTGTGCGAGAGGGGGGGGGGTCGCGTGGTTCTAGTCACAGGAGGTGTGCGAGAGGGGGGGGGGGGGGGGGTCGCGTGGTTCTAGTCACAGGAGGTGTGCGAGGGGGGGGGGGGGGGGTCGCGTGGTTCTAGTCACTGGAGGTGTGCGAGAGGGGGGGGGGGGGTCGCGTGGTTCTAGTCACAGGAGGTGTGCGAGGAGGGGGGGGGGGGTTGCGCTGTGCTAGTCACAAGGGTGCTGGTGTGTAAGATGAAAGTGTATGTGATGTTAGCGTTGACTTAAGCAGCATATGTAGCTCTACTTGCTAAAAGCATTGAATGTGGTCTTGTTATATCTATAACTAAATCCAGAGTTCTCCATCCCCAAGAGAAAACTCATGTCCCTATAGCTTTCAAGGTCAACAACCAGAACATTGAAACGTGTAGGGAGCACAAATACCTTGGAGTTGGTATTAACAGTGACATTGTAAATGGTCTACACCGTAGGTTAAAAGAAAGACTAAAACCATTGAGAACACTTACTGGTAAGAATATTGGTATCAATATTAAATATGCTAGACTATTCTATATGATGTTTGTTAGATCTCTCGTTGATTATAATGCCCTGCACTTAATTAATTTCCCCTCTTCTGTGTTGGACAATCTTGAAGTAGTACAGAATGAGGCCATGAGGATAATTCTTGGTGCCCCAAGATGCACAAGAATCATCAACATGAGGGAAGAACTGAAGCTTCCAACCATACTAGAGAGAATAATGCAAGTCAACACCACCTTTTGCCTTAAAGTCATGAGAGATCCTACATCTCCTGCATTGCTCAGAGACAAATTATTTAGTGCTGTTAACACCCTTTTGACTGGTGCCGACATACCAACTCACTCCTTTTATGATAATTGGCTGAGCAACAATGCTTACAATCTCATTAAACTTAACATTTCTTTTAAGTGCAATCTACCTGTCTCTGATATTCCTCTTTATCTGTACCCCACCATTCAAGTATGATACACACCTGTCACCAAGAAAGATAATGAGAATCTTGCTCTTCTCAAAGCTGTCACACTTGAAACAATTGCCTCCTCCATCGAGAGTTTAAGATCTCACGAGCACTGTGTCTACACCGACGGATCAGTCCAATCCTCTACTGGACGGACTGCAGCAGCATGTAGGTTTTATAGAAATAATATTTGCACAAAGACTGTCAGTGTCAGGTTAAACAACTGGCTGACCTCCACACAAGCAGAACTAGCAGCATTATACCTAGCTACCAGTACATTAAAAAACATTGGAGGAGGAATAATATTTTGTGATTCAAAGTCTGCTCTTCAAGCAAACGAAAACTTCTCTTGGAAGATCGACAGAAAGAACCTCATACTCCCAATTATAAATGACCTAATTGATGCACAGAGTAAAGGGTTTCGAATTTCCTTTGTATGGATACCTTCGCACATAAATATAACCCATCATAATGAGACAGACATTGCAGCCAAATTAGCGTGTAACAAGTTTGAAGTTGAATTAGATCTAGGTATCCCCATCTCTGCTGTCAAAACTGTATTGGTCCAAACACTCAGATCTGATAGGAAAGAACTTACTGACTCCCAACGACCTGAAAGTACTAGTATAAATAGCTATGATTTGTTCAGATCTGAAACCTATATCTATGGGCAGCACAAAACGTCCACTAGACTGTGCGACACAGTGGTTGCAAGGATCAGGTTGGGTTACCGTTACCTGTGGCAGGTGGCTGCAGGTGACGGGTCTCCCAATCCTGAGCACTCCAGTTGTGAACTCTGTGAGCAGGAACTACGGCACGATCTCCAGCACAACATCACTGAATGCCCAGTTATTAGACCTTTCAGACCAGTTGGCATGAGGTACCTGGAGCTCTGCAATTACTTTATTCACTCTCGTATTCTTGAAGATATCCTCACAGTGTACCCAAAATTTGCCAGTGCAGGCTACTAAACATATGGCCCTGTATGACTAACCATCCTGCGAGATGGGGACTTTTATTACCACTGCTATCTTATTCAATCTTGTGTTGATGATATCCTCAAAATACATCCGGAGTCTGCCAGTGCAGACTGCTTATCACATGCCTCTGTATGACTAACCATCCTGTGTGATGGGGATTTTTTAGCATCACCTAGTTAGCTTTTTTGACACACTGTACTCCACTTCATATAGTCTAGGGTAGCTGCACAAATGCAGATGTACCTCATATATGAATAAAAAAAAAAAGTTAAAAGTTGTTAGATCTCTCGTTGATTATAATGCTTTGCACTTAATTAATTTCCCCTCCTCTGTGTTGGACAATCTTGAAGTAGTACAGAATGAAGCCATGAGGATAATTCTTGGTGCCCCGAGATGCACAAGAATCATCAACATGAGGGAAGAACTGAAGCTTCCAACCATACTAGAGAGAATCATGCAAGTCCACATGACCTTTTGCCTTAAAGTCATGAGAGATCCTACATCTCAGAGACAAATTATTTAGTGCTGTTAACACCCTATTGACAGGTGCCGACATACCAACTCACTCCTTTTATGATAAATGGCTGAGCAACAATGCCTACAATCTCATTAAACTCAACATTCCTTTTAAGTACAATCTACCTGTCTCTGATATTCCTCTTTGTCTGTATCCCACCATTCAAGTATCATACACACCTGTCACCAAGAAAGGCGATGAGAATCTTGCTCTTCTCAAAGCTGTCACACTCGAAACAATTGATTCCTCCATCGAGAATTTAAGATCTCACGAGCATTATGTCCGCTTTGGCCCCTGCTTCCCCTTCTTCGTAAACCTGTCCTTGAATCTTGTTCTTTAGATTTCTGCACTCATCTCCGACTTCCCTATAATGATCCCTTCTCTCTCTCTGAACTTTGATCAGCCCTGGCTCTCTGCGGTTCTACGGCGGCGGGCTCTGATGGCATTCATTATGAGATGCTTCCCTTTCTCCCTCCGTGCACGTCTCAATATTTACTGAGTCTGTATAATCGGATCTGGGAGTCGTCGTCAGTCCCCGAGGACTGGCTCGATGCTGTTGTCCTCCCTGTTTGAAAACCAAGGTCTCTGGGAACTTCCCCTAAGGACTTTCGCCCTATTGCCCTCACGAGTTGTGACTGCAAACTCTTTGAACGTATGGTTAACGTTCGTCTGATGTGGTTCTTAGAACACTATCGCCACCTAACCCCTTCTCAATTTGGTTTCCACATGTGCCGCAGCACAACAGATGTCCTGGTGAACTTGGAGGTCTATATTCGTACTGCTTTTGCCGCAAAGATCTTCGTTGTTGCCGTCCTTTTTTACCTGGAAAAGGCTTACGACACCACTTGGCGATATCATATTCTATCCCAGCTTCATTCTTTTGGCCTTCGTGGTCATCTCCCTCTCTTTCTCCTCAGCTTCCTCTCTCATCGCTCTTTTCAGGAGAGGCTTGGTACTGCTCTCTCTGCCTCTTTTCAGCAATACGAAGGTGTACCCCAAGCGTGTTCTGAGCACTACTCTTTTTCTGGTTGCCCTCAATGGTCTTCTTTCCTCTCTTCCTTCTGACGTCTTCTCTGCTCTCTATGTCGACGATCTTGCCCTTTGCTGTCGGGGTGATGATTCGCCTCTCCTTCAATGCTGGCTTCAACTTGTGATTGATGCCGTGTCGTCTTGGGCCACCGATCATGGCTTCAGGTTCTCTACATCTAAGACTTGTGCTATGACTTTTACTCAGAAACGTGTCATTCTTCGTCTATCTTTGTCGCTTTATTGTCACCTCATTGTGTACAAGGATTCCGCTAAGCTTTTGGGGCTGATTTTTGACACTCATTTGTTTTGGTCGCCCCCTATCTCTTACCTCCGAGAGGAATGCTCTAAGGCAAGTACCCTCCTTCAGGTGTTGTCCCATACTTCTTGGGGAGCGGATAGGTGCACTCTCCTTGCTTTACATTCCTCTCTCGTCCTGTCTAAACTTGATTATGGTTGCCCTGCTTACTCGTCTGCTTCTCCTTCTACTCTTCATCGTCTTGATGCTTTGCACCATACTGGGTTACGCCTCAGTTCTGGTGCCTTTCGTTCGACTCCCGATCTCAGCTTGTATGTTGACACTGGCTTCCTATCTCTCCAGAACCCCCGTGATCGCTACTGTCTTCGCTATCTTGTGCAGTCCTTGCAGCATCCTTCCTCTCGCTTGTCATGCTTTAACTTTTACCCCTCCTGCGGTTCCTGTTCCTCTTCACCACCTCCCTCTTTCTGTCCGGTTATCTCGCTTACAGGATTCTCTTTTAGTTCGTATTTCTAATATTTCTCCTCATGTTATTCCTTCTTTGCCCCCGTGGAAAGTCCCCCTTCCGAAGTTTTGTTGATCCTTAACTCACGTCACTAAAGCTTTTACTCCTCCTATGGTCCTGAAATGCCTTTTCCTTGAGCACTTTTCTTCACACTCCAGCTCCGTTTCCATCTTCACCGTCTGCAGACGGTGTAGGCTACTCTGTTGGTTTTCCTGACAGCACTTATATGTGTCGCTTACCCCCGGAGACTAGTATCTTCACAGCGGAACTTTATGCTATTCTCTACACTCCTCGTCTCTTTCTTTCTCATTATCAATCTTCCTTTGTAGTTGTCGTTGA